TGTGTGTGTGTGTGTGTGTGTGTGTGTGTGTGTGTGTGTGTGTGTGTGTGGACTTCCTTTTCAGCTGGTTACATCTTTCAACTCTTGCTGTTTGTTATGAACATCCAACTGCTTTCGGCTTTTTCCTCTTCAGGGGTCGCCACAGCGAGTCATCCTCCTCCATCTCACTCCGTCCTCTGCATCCTCTGTCTTCACTCCAACTACCTCCATGTCCTCATCCATATATCGCCTCTTTGTCTTTTTCCTGGCAGCTGCATTTCTAACATCCTTCTACCAGTATACCCACTGTCCCTCCTCTGGACATGTCCAAACCATCTCAGTCTGGTCTCTCTAACTTTATCTCCCAGTTGTTCAACCTGTGCTGTACCTCTGATGATCTCATTCCTAATCTTCTCCATCCTTGTCACTCCTAAGGAGAACCTCAACATCTTCATTTCTGCCACTTCCAGTTCTGTCTCCTGTCTTTTTGTCCATGTCTCTGTCTCCAGATCATACAGCATAGCTGGTCTCACCAGTGTCTTGTAAACTTTTCCTTTGACCTTTGCTCACACCCTTTTGTCACAAATCACTCCTGAAACTTTTCTCCATCTTCTCCATCCTGCCTGGACTCTCTTTTTCACCTCTTTACCACACTCCCCATGTTCCTGAACAGTGGACTCCAAGTGAAGTCCTGCACCTTTGTTGTTGTTAACCCGGGCCTCGACCGATCCGGTATGGTTTTGCTTTGATGAACTCGCATTATAGGTTTGGCAAAAGTGTTTTAGGTTAGATGCCCTTCCTGACACAGCCCTCACCATTTACCTGGGCTTGGTAGGGACCGGTACACTGGCTTGTGCTCCCTAGTGGCTGGTTTGCGTTATGAACAAACACTGGTTTATATTTTTGTTAGTGACCCTCTTCACTGCGTTCCTCCATGTTAGGTCCAAATGAGCAGCTCTGCATTCTTTGCACACCAGATTCTGACCATTTTATAGAGGCTTCTTTGTGGACGAGGCAGAGGGACGACTCCAGCAGCTCAAGAATGTCAGACGGCTCAGAGACCGGCTTTCTTTGCTCATGGAAACCTGAGACAGGCTGAATCAGCCATGTCCAGCTGAAATATGGTGGATTGTTAATCTCAGAACTCCACCTGATTGTGGTCTGAGTGTTTCCTCAAAATGGGGTCTTTCTTTTTGTGTTTTACTCTTGGACAGTAGAACCAGTGTTGTTTGCTGCACTTATCAGGAGTTATCATCGCCAGCTGCCATTAAAGGCAGGCGATAATCTTATTACCTGCGTTTACTTGTCTGTTAGCAAAATATCTCATGAACCTGTCTCAGGAAATAATAATTTAACATGCATCTACAACTAAATGACCTTTGGAGTCAACTCGATTCAAGATGTCTGCCACAGCTAATCCACTATAGCTAAAATTTGGTGTGGTAGCAGCAGAGACGCATCTTCATCACAGACTCTAAGCCCTAACAGAACGCACAAGATCTTTGTTTAACACTTTAGCTTTAACGGTTGGGGTGTCAGAGTCAGAGTTTCTTTATTTGTCATTCCACCACATGTGGTACATGTGGTGGAATGAAATTGTGTACACAGGGTCCCAGTTACATCCAAGAATAAAATGTAGAAGAAAAACAGTAATAAGATCTAAGATATGAACTAAAAAAAAATCAACTAAACGTACACCAAGCACTAGTAGCATAAAAACATTACGCCAAACAGCAGCATGAACGTAAGTCTGTGTGAGCAGATGAGCACGCATGAACACATCAACATGAAACAGATCAGCAGCAACATGAAACAGATCAGCAGCATCAGCAGCAACATGAAACAGATCAGCAGCATCAGCAGCAACATGAAACAGATCAGCAGCATGATATGATTTTTCGCAGATTATCCAGATAACAGATTCATGAGTCTAACAGCTTCAGGGTAGAAGCTGTTCCTCAGTCTAGTGGTTCTACACTTAATGCTCCTCAACCTCCTTCCTGAGGGGAATGGGGCAAAAAGTGTGTGTGCTGGGTGAGTGGGGTCCTTCATGATGCAGGTGGCCCTCTTCTTGCATCTGGAGGTGTAGATGTTTGTGATGGTGGGGAGACTGACTCCAACAGACTTCTGTGCAGCCTTCACTCTGCAAAGCTTTTCTTTCTGCAGCTGTGCAGCCTCCATGCCACACATTGTGTCTGTCTGTTAGCATAATATCTGATGAACCAGTGGATGGATTTTTATGAAACGTGTAGAAAGCATTCATTGGATGCACCTCTACAGCTGAATAACATTTTGAGCCAAGCAGTTTCAGCACGGTTCGCCACAGCTGATCCAACTTAGCAAACACAAAGATTGTTATAGCGTATTCATCCATCCATCCATCCATCCATCCATTTTCTTTTACCCGCTTTTTCTATTTTGGGTCACGGGGGTCGCCGGTGCCCATGTCCAGCAATCACTGTGCGAGGGGCAGGGGACACCCTGGACGGGTCCTTCACAGGGCCACATAGAGACAAACGAGACAAACAACCATTCACTCTCTCACTCACACCTAGGGACAATTTAGAGTTACCAATCAGCCTAACATGCATGTTTTTGGTCTGTGGGAGGAAACCGGAATACCTGGAGAAAACCCACGCATGCACGGAGAGAACATGCAAACTCCACCCAGAAAGGCCCCATGACTGGGATTTGAACCAAGGACCTGCTCGCTGAGAGGCAGCAGCTTTACAAGTTGCACCACCGTGCAGCCCATAGCGTATTCAGTTTTACAGATATTTGAACAAAACTTGATGAGGTAGTAGCTGAGACTCCTTTACGTGCTGTGAGCTCTAACAGAGCACATGATCACACTGTTCAAAACCTTGGCATGCAGGGTGGTGGGAGACATGCGGTCAATCCTTTTTAATTCAAGAACAACTTTTCCGTCTTCCTTTTTCCCACCTTTACCCCCTTTCCGTCGGTGCCCCCCACCCCCTTGAGTAAACCTGACAAAGCCCCCCTCTTCCCTTCCCCACGTCCTCTCCTTTGCCCACATTTCTTCCATTGCGCAGCGTCGCCCTCTCTCTTCTCTCCCCACTGCATCTGCAATGCAGCATGCACTGCAAACTGTGACTGCTGAAAGGGGAGGTGGGGGTGGTGTTGGTGGTTGGGGGGGTGTCTCGGCTTGCAGGAGGAAGCACTTCTAGACTTGTGCCCTTCACTGATCAAAAAAGCACCCCCCCCCCCCCCACACACACACACACACTGCTTCATGACTCAGTTTCTTTCAGATTTACTGTTCCCTGAGGGGCTCAGCATTCTGCAGCGTTTTAGCAGATTGCAGCGCATGGACTTCTCCCCGTGACACATGAAGTTGCACGGCCTCTGCTTTGGCTGTTCAATCTTTTTTTTTTTTTGGGGGGGGGGGGGGTGGGGGGTGGGGGGGTGTCATATGAGCAGCTGCATCACAGGAGCGTACAAATGACCACCAAGTCAGGAAGCAGCTGCTGCTTTCACACGTTTCCCATTTAACTCCGGAAACTTTAACTCATCCATATCTTTATGTTTCTGTTTTAACGGTGCATGTTTTCACTTGTTGAGCGTTTTGCAGGTTGAATTAATGTAAAGTGAGTTTAACGTTTTTAGTTTGATGTCGCCAGAAGACGACATAGATGTAGTTTGTTAAAGCTGCAAAGCAAAGTTAGTATTATTAAAAATGATATCAAGGTTTAATGTTTATTGTCATTCGCATCACATGTGGAACATGAGGTGGAACGAAATTGTGTACTCAAGGTCTCAGTTACACCAAAAATAGCAAAAATGTAAAGTATTTAAAAAAAGAAACAATATAGAAGGATCTAAGATACACACTAAACAACAATAATACAATAAGGTGTATTAAACAGCAGCCTGAACATGAGTCTGTAGTGAGCAGACTGGTTTGAATACAGCAGCTTAAAGGCAAGAAATCAGCAGCATAATCAGCAGCACAGGTAAAGTGTCAAATATCTAATTAAAGTGGCATTACAGTGATTTTCCTGGTGAGGGATTTAGGAGTCTAACTGCTTCAGGGTAGAAGCTGTTCCTCAGTCTAGTAGTTCTACATTTAATGCTCCTCAACCTCCTTCCTGAGGGGAGTGGGGCAAAAAGTGTGTGTGCTGGGTGAGTGGGGTCCTTCATGATGCAGGTGGCCCTCTTCCTGCATCTGGAGGTCTAGATGTTGGTGATGGTGGAGAGGCTGACTCCAACAGACTTCTGTGCAGCCTTCACCACTCTCTGCAGAGCTTTTTTCTTTCCGGCTGTGCAGCCTCCATGCCACACGTTGATGCTGGAGCACAGGACGCTCTCCACTGCACACCTAATATAATTTAAGTATTTAAAAAAAATGTTAATTTCATTTCCTTAAAGCTAAAATTGTCTGATGATGAGAAATGATGAAGTGTAGCGGGTGTTTCGGTCTAACCTTGTCACAGTGCTCAGAGTATGTGTTAGGGATGACTCTCAGCTCTTACCACAAAACTGAGAGTTATGGTTACATCTAATGATTACTCTCCAATGAGAGACTTTTAAAGTCCTGTTTGTTCTTTGCGTTCGATCAAAAACTTACACTGATCTGTGTTTCTTTTAGATGGGAGGAAGAATACACGATGAGGACGGATCTGCAGCAGAAGATTGTAGACCTACAAGAGGTAATATTATGAAATATTCTGATTTTGCTTTTACTGATATTTTAGGCAGAAAAGGCAAAATCACAAAATTTAAATGAAAGCATTTTGGTATGAAGTTTTGTTATAGTAATGCGATAATACAGATTATACTTCAGCTGTTTGATAAGATCCTTTATGATCCATGTGGCTCTGATTGAAAAAATAATGTGCGGATTTATAAGAGCTGTAGCTGTTTTTATCGTCACCTCCACCAAACTTCCACTAGTTAAATAATTTGGTTTGTTTTTATTAAAGCATGAGAATTTCACAGAAATATTCTGTTGATCAGTGCTGCATTTGATACAGTTGATCTTAATATTCTACAAAGACTTGAATATGATACTGGGATTACAGGAACAGCTCTAAATTGGTTTAAATCATATTTATCTGATTGATTCCAATTTGTAAATGTAAATAATGAATTTTCATCATACACCAAAGTTAGTCATGGAGTTCCTCAGGGTTCAGTGCTTGGACAAATACTCTTTACCTTATATATGCTCCATTAGGTAAAGATATTAAATAGCACGGGATACTGATGATACACAGTTATATTTGTCCATGAAACCCAGTGAATCCAATCAGCTGCTTAGACCACAAACATGTCTTAAAGACATAAAAATCTGGATGACGCTAAATTTTCTGCTTTTAAACTCAGACAAGATGTGCGGTTTCTGGACCTGAGCATCTTAGTTATAAATTTTTCGGTCTTTCATTTTCGTTGGATGGCATTAATCTGGTCTCCAGTTCTAATCTTAAAAATCTTGGTGTTATTTTTGATCAGGACATGTCTTTTATCCCCCACATTAAAAACATTACTAGAACCGCCTTCTTCCACCTGCGTAACATCTCTAAAATTAGAAACATCTTATCTAAAAATGATGCAGAAAAACTGGTCCATGCATTTGTCACGTCTAGACTGGACTATTGCAATGGTTTATTATCTGGGTGTCCAAATACTTCTTTAAAACGTCTTCAGTTGATCCAAAATGCTGCTGCCAGAGTCTTAACTGGGGAGAGATCATATCTGTAACTCTAGGAGCCCCAAGTAAACCTGCAGCCTGAGCGCAAAGTGCTCTGTTAGGAAAATATGGAACAATAAGATCTGTAATATAAGATGGAGCTAACTTGTGCCCTGAGATGACTTCTGTTGTGACTTGGCGCTATATAAATAAACTGAATTTAATCTGTTAAATGCAGCCTGCATGCTTATCACAGATCATCAAACTGCCATATATGCACTTCCTTCAGCTGTGTGTGTTCTTATACACTTGTTTTTTCTAATTTCCTGTATGTGCATACGTGTGAAAGCTTTTCATAAAAAGTTTGCATGTAGCACTGCCAGGAATCTTTACCTGACCTCATTCAGGTGGCTGCGCCACATCGTCTGGTAAAAGCAGACGACAGAAACCACAGCTATGAAAAGACCTCAGGGTGGCAAGATGCTCGAACAGATCAGCAGGAAGCAGAGAACATTAAAACGTCTTCAGCAGACGGACATCTTTGTGGGGTTTGAGCGTTTCACAGGTGTTTTTTTCTGGCTGCTTGTCGTCTGTGCAGGACCTGCAGGAGAGCGAAGGCTGTCAGGACGAGCTGGCGCTCAGGGTGCAGCAGCTGAAGGCGGAGCTGGTCCTCTTCAAAGGCCTCATGAGCAATGTGAGCAAACACTGCTCAAACCATCGTGCACTGAACACACGCACTCATGGCTGATGAGAATTAGCTGCTTTTAAACACATGGATCATAATGTTCATTTTTCAATAGAAATACTGTGCTGGGAGTCTGTGTGTGTGCATGTCTGTTAGCAAAATTTGTGATGCACCAGTGGAGAAACTTTAATGAAACTTGCAGAGATTAATTGGGAGAGGCATCTACAACCCATTAAGCTTTGGCGTCAACCCGATTCAATATGGCTGCCTCCGTAAACTTACCTTAGTATACACGAAAATTCCTACACCTCAGTCAATTTTGTAGATATTGACATAAAGTTTAGTGTGGTAGTAGCTTAAACGGATCCACAGTGGATCATCTAAGCACAAACAGACTGCACAAAATGCTTGTTGTAAAATTGCCATCAAATATTTGCAGTCAACTGTCTGTTAGCAAAATATCCCATAAAGCACTGAATGGATCGTAATGAAACTTTCAGGGATGGACCACTGGATCTACAGCTACAGCTGATAAACTTTTTCAGCCAATTCAAAATGGCCGCCACAGCCAACTCACTTTAAAGAACACAAAAATGGCTGATTCTTTCAGTTTTACAGATATTGTGGTAAAATAGTGTGTGGCTGAGTCATTCACAGCACATACTTTAAGTTCTAACCATTGTGCTAGAGCTTTGTCTAACAATTTTGTTGGCGTCACCTTTGTCTGTAAGCAAAATATTTAATGAAACACGACAGATTTTAATGGAACTCAAAAAGTAATGCTTGATTAATGTTAGGAGTTAATCCAGTTTAAGACTAGCTAACTCAAATATGGCTACAGCTGAGTCATTCAGAACACACCGTGTGTGACATCTCGCCGTATCATCGAAAACTGTGCATGACGGTCTTTATTTAAAACTCGTACATGAAAGGTAGCGGGTGGTTTTTATTCTCATAAGGAATAAGAGAATGAATTTGGCCTTTAATTCTTATTTTTCTAATTGATGTCCCTTTCTACTAAAACTTTTAATCCACTTTTTGAATTATTATTGACAAATAAGCAACGAGTATTCGATAATTCACACATTAATTTTATTGATTCTTAAAAAAAACAAAACTGGTTTTTCTCCTCCAAACTATTATTTTTCTGCTAGTTGTTTTTTTTCTTCTTCTTTTTTTTTCTGTTCTCTGTATTGGAATACCACAAAGTGGATTTAAGATGTAATGCAAATCTTATACACTGTAAAGCAACTTTGATTGTTGACATGTGCTGCTGATTATCCATGCTGCTGATCTCATGCTGCTTATTATTTCATGCTACTGTATTCATTCATTCATTCGTACTCATCCACCCACAAAGACTCAAGTTTGTGCTGCTGTTGTTCGGTGTTTTGTTTTGCACTATTAGTGTCTAGTGTATATCTTAGACCTTTTAGTGTACTGTTTGGTGTTTGTTTAGCGTATTTCTTAGTTGATATTTTAGATCCTTATTCACTGTTCCTTTTTACACTTTATATTTTTGCTATTGTTGGATGTAACTGGGACCCTGTGTACATATTTTCGTTCCACCTCATGCAACACATGTGATGTGAATGACAAAGGACCTTGACCTTCAAGATTTTAGAATATACAGATCCTGTATTTAGTTTTTGTTTCTGCTTTTGTCTTCTGAAGAATTTGTCCGATTTGGACAGTAAAATCCAGGAGAAAGCCATGAAAGTGGACATGGACATCTGCCGCAGGATCGACATCACCGCCCGCCTGTGTGACGTAGCCCAGCAGAGAAACTGTGAGGATGTGATCCAGATGTACCAGGTACCAGATTAAAAGGTTTACAGGTTTTCCTGTAGTAGGTGTTGATTATGTTCGTCTGATCTTGTGAACTTAACCTTTCTGTGCAGGTTCCAAACAACCAGTCATCTCTGAGTCTCCGGCGCAAACAAACCCCTCTGTCTTTTAACGGGAGCGAGTGTGATGAAACCGTCAGCACCTCTGAAAGTGATGCAGGCGGTGTTAAAGAAGAGGAGCGCTATGGCTCCTCGGCCAATCAGATCAATGAGGAGATGCAGAGGATGCTGACCCAGCTGTGAGCGCTCCATCTGCCAAACGTCCTGCCTTTAGGGATGACTTCAGGCACACGCACTTATAGGTGTGTGTTTTATTCTCATTGCAGGCGGGAATGTGAGTTTGAGGACGACTGCGACAGTCTAGCCTGGGAGGAGACTGAAGAGACGCTGCTTCTTTGGGAGGACTTCCCAGGATGCACTCTGCCTCCAGATCCCACCCACCCACCAGGAGAGGTAAGCTGTGGATGGAGGTTACTCAGTGGGTATGTTTACATGGACATAAGTAACCGGATCAAATGGCCGGTCGGAATAAAAGTGTGTCATGTAAACGCTCCGTTCGGGTTATTTTTTGTGTATTCGGCGCGATCCGTTATAATTTGTGATCAGAACGAAACGGGTGGTTTACGCCGATCCGAAACCCGATAGGTGCGCATGTAAATGCTTGATCTGTTCGTTTTTATCTGATGGTGAAAAACTGACCTGACTGCGCATGTGCAACTTTGCCATTTCCGCCTGGCTAACGCTAATAATATTAGCATGTCAGGGAAGTAAAACTGGTCGGTGAGCGACACAACATTTCTACTAGAAACTTTGAAAGAGCTCAAAATGATTTCTATTACCTGTAGCTCAGTCAGGGAGTGCAATAACGTCTCCACCATCATTAAAACCTGTCGCGGGTCCATTTTGGGTGCTCAGGTTTGTTTACATTCACCCGGAAGTAGAACTTCTTCTTCGGTGGTTTTTTTAAGGAGAGTTTACCACTCTGCGCATGTCAGTACTGCTGTTCAGAACAAAGCCCACTGCATGTAAACGCTCATCATGAACAGATTGTGCCCATGTAAACAATACATTTGAATTATTCAAACAGAACACATTTCAATCTGGTCAGAGAATTCTGTGCATGTAAACATAGCTAGAGTTTATAGCTCAGTATGATAATACCAAAGTAACTCAGACTTGTCCAGTTGTTTTTGTATTGAACGCTTTTTGAATTCATCATGTCCTGGATGACTGAGAATCTTCACCAGCAACTCAGACTTGTGATTTGTAGAACAGTTTATTTTCCTGACTTTTTTATAATCATGAAGTTATTATTATTAATTATTTGCAAAGACTGAATCTCAAAACATTAAGACAAAAAAAAACGATAGAATAATATAATTACCCAGTGTTTCCCCTACCATTACACAAGTGGGGCGCCCCGCCCCATCAACAGATCCGAGCACCCTGTCTGCCGGACTACCCTCACCCCACCATCAGTGACTGTCAGTATTGATGTAGCACAGGGCGCAATACAAACGTGCTAGCAAAAATTCTACTGATATACAACTCCGCTACCACCCCCCCCCCCCCCCCATCTATAAAAACCGGCAGCAACATAGTGCTAAGCTAGCAGGCGGGCAACACCATGAGCCCCATCAACGTATCTCTGATCTAGGGGAAACTTGCCTGTACATAAAACGTTCTCTACTACTTCAACATGTTTAGAAAACAACTTTAAACATAACAAATGTATCGGTAGCATCTAGTAATATTTGGTTCAAGGTCACAAATCAAGGTCAAGTGCTATACAAGGTCTTTGCGTGTCCAGGCCATAACATCTGATCTGCTCAAGAAAATTTAATGCAGTCTGATACACATATGCATCATCGCCACACGATGTGTCACAAAGGCCTGTTGCGATAAACAATAAATAAATTAATCGCATGATAAATTAAAATTATCAACCTCATTTTCATTTATCGCCTTTATTGTTTCTTCGTGTCTCTCTCATATTGAAGACACTGGATGACAAAAGGCTCAACTCCGGTGCTCTTCACTGACCCCTCCCTTTCTCTTTTCTCTTTAAAATCTGTTTTAACTGTCCAAAATCGTGTTTTTGGATCATTAAAAGCAGCTAAGCTACGAGCTAAGCTAACAGGCCGACCTCAGGAAAAGACCTCCGTCTTGTCGACGCTCCAAAATTCATGTTTGAAACCTGTGCCTTTGTGTAAAAAGTTGTTTCTCTTGGCAAAAAGAAGCTGAGAACTTGTTTACTGATTTTTTATTAAAAGCTTTGTTTGAAAAATGCTATGCTAAAGAGCTCAAAGCACACTGAGAGTCCGTCCTTTTGAGAACCGATAAACAGGAACGAGAGACAGCCCATGTCATGTCAAGGGGCCTCCTTCCCATTTTTCTTAAAGGATGCTTGCTCCCTCACTATTCATCCTTCAGTTCAATCAGTCTTTTACTGCCATCCGGTGGTAATAAAAATGTACTACTTCAAAACAAATTAACCAACATTTCTTCTTAAATTTGACAATTACTAATTATTGTTAAATTCCAAACAATATTATCGTTTATCGCAATAAATTCTGAGACAATTAATCGCCCAGCAAAATTTGTTATTGTGACAGGCCTAGTGTCGCATAATCTTTTCACCACCCCAGCTTTATGGTCAAGGTCACAGATCAAGGTCAAATGTTTTACAAATTCTTTGCTTGTCTGGGCCATTGCTATAGATTGCTGTTGTTTGTCAATGGGCGTATAACGTGTCGCATGTGGTACTCTTGTTGGAGGTGACAAAATGGAGGTCATTTCATTGAAAAGGTTCAGTCAGTCTTATACTGCCATTAATTGATCAAAACAGCCCTTCAGATTTATTGTGAATGACAGTGTGTGTGTGGGGGGGACATAAATATGACCACTGTCTGTATGAACATCTTCCTGACTACATTTGCCTCGCCTCACAAGGGTTTTGCTCGACATTTAAAACAAAAATAATTCTTTGGTGTTTTTCCTGTCTCGCTGACTGTTTTTGTGTCTTATTCAGTAGCTTCTGTCTGCAGTGGGAACATTTCCTGACTGTAAACTGACTCCAGTGACATTTTGTTTGTTTCCTATGAATGCATCCATCCATTCATTCACTGTCTGCTGCTGCTTTCTACAGTCTGTTGTCCTTTTTGAAGGGAACGGCTGCATTAGTCTCTGAAATCTAAGCTGACAGTGTCAGACAAGCTGTGGTTGGATAGATCAGGTTCTGGTGTCCGACTGTCCCTTGGAGAGCACTTTTTTTTATTCACCGCTAAGATTTACTACAGTTCATCAAACATTACATGCTCCAAAAGCATCTCTGCTTTGTGCTTTCAGGAGGACTGTCTGGAGAAGGTGATTAGTGACACTGAATGTTTGTTCAAATCCCGGGAAAAGGAATATCAAGAGACTATTGACCAGATTGAGGTCAGATGCTCAGTTTTTTAAGTTTCTTGTTTTAATTAAACAAAATATCTGTTCATATTGTGTTTCTAGTCCTCTGTCATTTAATTGTTCATACACAGATTTTAATTTTTTTATGCTTGTCTATGCATGAAAGATGATTATATGACCAACACAGTGACTCTGCAATAAGTTAAATGTAGTTTTTTTGTTTTGATTTAAGCCTCAAATTGAGCTCATTTGGGAGCAACTGAGTTTCTTTTATGCTCCCAAATGTGTAAAAGCTCTCCTGAAATGATGTCAAGTTGTGCTAATAAACGAGTTTTAATGGAGGCAAAGCAACACTGATTTATTGTGTCCTGTTTTTAATCTTGTTTTACCTTGTAAAGCACCTTGGTCAATGCAAGGCATTGTTGGAAGGTGCTATAGAATTAAAGAAAGAAGATAAACTGTAATCAACTGCGTGTGATTTGTGTGGATTGAAACATCTGGAATATGTTTGCAGCTGGAGCTGGCCACAGCCAAGAGTGACATGAACAGACACCTGCACGAGTACATGGAGATGTGCTCGATGAAGAGAGGCCTGGATGTTCAGATGGAGACCTGCAGGAGGCTCATCACACAGAGCGGAGACAACGGGTACACACGCACACACACACAGTTTGCTAACTTTGTTGTAACACAGCGTTTCACAGATCATGTTAGTTGTGCTTAAGTCAACAGGTCTTTGACTTTTTTATACTCTGTTTAGAGAGATTTGGAGAAGAAAGTACATCTAGGATGTTTCGATTTTCACACAAAAAATGGTGAATAGTACGACGGAGCTTTAGGGCCACGCTAAGACAAAAAAGAAAAAATTTAAAAGACATTAAATTGCGAGAATAAAGTTGAATAAAGTCTTAACATTACAAGAATAAAGTCGTACAAAACTTTTTTTTTTCAGCTCCTGTGTTTGTTTGTTTTTTTCACGAGTCGGATCCACAAACCGACCTGTCAATCAATCCAAGTGGCGTGTCAGCATATGACCAATCTGAAGCTAAATGAGTCGTAAAATTATCCGAACTCTTGACACGATAAAGCAGAGTTTACTGCATTTTAACTGGTAAAATGAAAAATGTTGAGCATCTTGTTAAGTTATACTTTGGTATTGGTTCTACAAATAAGGAGATAGTTAATCTGTTAGCACATCAGCATCAGATTATTATCAGTGTCAGGACTTCGAACCTGCTTACAGTAAGGTGGTACACTCTGATTGGCTTTGAATGGGTCATTTGCTGACACGCCTACTGGATTGATTGACAGGTCGCGTTGTGGATTCGACTCGTGAAAAAAAACAACACGAGAGCTGCAAAAAACAAAAAAAAAGTCTCACGCGACTTTATTCTTGTAATATTAAGACTTTATTCGACTTTATTCTCGTAATTATATGACTTCAAAAAATTTTTTTTTTCTTAGCATGACCCAAAAGCTCCGTCGTAGAAAAGTCTTCGTCACTGAAATGTGCACCGTTTACTGGTCACCTGTGTGCTGACCTTTGCTGAAAGGTCTCGGAAGAATGCTGTCAAAGACTGAATTAAATTTTGTCAGTATAAAACGTTTTCTCGTAGCTAAAAACACCACACATGTCAGTGTTGAATTGAAAAAGTTCCTTGGATGAGAAGTAAAACATCATGAATAAAAGAAGAAGTTCCGTTTTGCTTGTTTCGGGATTACTATGTAGTAAAAATTTGACTGAGAATCTACATCAATAGCAAAGTTCATGCTCAATCATCCAGGTACCAAATCCAATAATGCCCAGTCAGGTCATCTGGACTGAGCATTATTGGATCTACATCAGCATTCTGCTTACAGTAACTAAACCCAGTTAAGATTTAGGGTTAGAGTTTGTTTAATTTGAAAACAATTTGATAACATTTCCTCTGCGTGTACGAGTGTCATTCTTTTAAGGAGGTTGGGCCCCAAAATGCAAACTGGCACAAAGAGTAAAAGAAAGAAAGAAAAATAGAATAAAACTTAATTTAAAGAAACAACGAGCTGTCGTGGCTGCCAAACTTACAGAACTCAAGAAAAGATACAAGGAGGCGCAGGGAAAAATCAGAGGTGGCACAGAATCCAACAATGCCCACCTGGTGAGTGAGGAGAAGCTGAAGAACTAAAAGATGGAGCTGATGAGAGAAGTGGCTGCAGCTGTGGCAGGAGAAACTGGAGATGGGTGTAGATGGGTGTCACAGGCTGGCTGGGAAAGTACTAACTGGGAGAAGTGGTTGATGGTTCAGAGGAACAAAAACTGAACACAAGGGGATAAAACAATGAACCAATGTAACAAAAATAACACAAACCGTTACAAAAACATTCAGAAAACACAGATTGGACCGTTTATATATGATGCAGAAAGATAAGTGCTGTTTGGATTGATCTTTTATTGAACCAATTCGGTTAAAAATATAAATTAAAATGCTTAAATATAAAGAACAGTGTTTTAAAGACCCTTTGACTGTTCCTTGCAGGTCTACGTTTATTCTCCATCAAGACTTAAAAAGTCCCAAAATGTATTTGTTAAAAACTTGAATGATGTCACTGTAACAAAAAATACATCTGCTATTGCTTTTAGCAGAGAGTCATGCTGTTGATTTGATGTATTGTTATATTCTTGTATATTCATTCGGCTGTATGTTGGTTTTTAGCTGTTCAGTGTCCCTGACTGTCCGGAAAGGTGCTTTTAAATAAAATGTATTATTTTTATTATCAAGTACATGTATAAAATAATTTGTTGTCTTTCTGTAATTCAAAAGCTGAACGCTAAAAGTTTCTTAACATCACATTAAAAGAGGATGAGGAACAAGTCGCATTTTCCTTCATATTTTTTCATTTCTGTTCCCGTCAGTAACCCTTCAGCACCCGGGTCTGCAGACGAGAGCGACCAGAGAGAAACGGACAGGTCTTCTTCTTCTCCATCTTCCTCCTCAAGCTCCGGGAGATCTTGACACTTCGTCATCCAGCCACTAAAAAGAGGCTGCAATCAAGTGATGTCTGCTGCATTCAACTACAGTTCAACGCAATATACACTTCCATAACTACAGCTAATCCATGTTTACATATTTATTCACAGAGTCGAGTCAATGGTTGTGGTGTTCGTGCAAATCAGTCTGGGAGGAAGATAAACATTTAGTAATGGGATGAGAATGTGAAAATTTACTGACTCTAAGCAGCAAGGCAACAGGCAAACATAATAATTTATAATACACCAGACATTTTAGAATAATACGAGCATCTCTGTAATCTGCTGTAAGATCACTAGAATCACTGTAAAGGTAATTTCTCATGTTTTTTTGTTTTTTTTTCATCTGTTACCAAAAAAACGGTGATCTGTAAATGTACAATCAGGGCTTTTGTTTTGACTATAACTTTAAATTTTAAAAATAATGTCCACAAATAATTTCATATCCACTTTGCCTTGTAGCTGCATGCTTGGTTTGCTTCAAAACTCCACATTTAGTCTGATTTATAACCATATTGGTTTTATTTAACATATTTTATGGAGAGATAAACAAAAAAAATCTACAAAAACAACCTGCCTCCTCCCCCATGCCAGTGTTTTGTGCTTTGATGCTGAGAACTGTGACAGCTTTGCCCAACCTTATTGAAAAGCTGTGAATCACCTCATTTCCTGACTGCCCACCTGTTCAAGTTAAACAGTTCTCGTTCGCGGCGCAGGTGCAATGCATTAACTTGCAGCGATGCTGTAAGTTGCATGTTAAAGAGAGAGAAAAGAAGCAAGCTTTGCTCACAGAGAAATCCAGCCTTGATTCTTTACTCAGATCTATTTCGTTTGTGCACATGCCAGGTAAAATAAGTTTTATATGTGAAAATATTCGTTTACAACACGCCATTTAAAAATGACCAGGAATGATTTGACCATTATTTTATAAGGACAACTTTAAAAAAAAGATGTGTCCAATAATGAGATATTTTTCAATTAAATTTTTAAAATGATAAGGTTCAGATCTTTTTGAAGTGTGGTTTCATGGATATACAGTAGTCCCTCATTTATCACGGGGGATACGTTACACCCCCCCCCCCCGGGCAATAATTGAAAAACCGCGAAGTAGAAATGACAGATTTTTGAGTTGAAACAAACCAAAACAGTTCAGTCAACTAATAAATTTAAATCAACTAAACTAAAGCAAAAGTTTATTTAGCAAGAGTGTATTAATAAGATACCAAGGTATTGAAGTGTGAAAGGTGAGTGAAAAGTTTTTACTCACCAGCTCTGCAGAACACAGCAGCTCTGTTCTGGTCCGGCTCAGTTCTGGTCCGGCTCAGTTTTGGCAGACCTACCTAGCTTTGGTTTGGTTCTGGTCCAGTTCTGATCGACTCTCTGCATCACTGAGCACCAAAGTCATTATGAAGGACTGAACTTTTTCAGATCCGAACAAAACTTTCCCTCCATTTCAGCAGAAAGCAACTTTGTGCACTGTTGCCTTCTGGGTAATGTAGTCTATACTGGCAATACAGTATAGGCTTATTGAGAGAAAACTACAAAATGGCGGCACATTAAAAAAAATTATTTATTGATTTATTTTGTTGTGAACAATTTTACAGTACTGTACTTTGGAAAAACCACGAAAGAGCAAGTCCGGAAAAGTCGATACGCAAAATAACGAGGGACTACTGTATGAACAAACACCTGTTACCCATGGTAGACAGAGCTTTGCCTCAGTTTGGATTGATGAGCTAAAGGCTAGTCCCAGTTGAACGCTTTCTCCTTAAACCAACTCCAGTTTAAAAACATTTCATAGCGATTCAAACAAATACTTTTTAAAATAAACTTTTATACCTCTGTCAGTTTTGCATGACACTGGTATTCTCAATTTTAATGAGATTCCAGAAGTGCTACAGCTAGCTGCCGCTGCCACCATTTATACTTGCATATGTAAATAACTATGTAATGGGAAGTTGCCAGAGGTGTACAGCTTTATAAACTAACGCCTGCATGAACCGCCATGAAATCTTTCTTTTGTTTCGTTCTACGTAGACGACTGCTCTTCCAGTTTTCCTTGTCTGAGGAAAACTTCCTTGAATCGTCTGCAGCTCGACAAAATGCAGCTGCTCAGCTTCTGACTGAAAGGTCTCCACCTTTGCTGATCACTTTGCATTGACTTCCTTTCAGTTCAAGGTTCTGGTCCTTCATACATTCCTGATCTTTTATCTCACCACCAGAACTCTGAGGTCCACTGATCAGGGACGTTTAATCTAAATCAAGACTAAAAACTGCAGGAAACAGCACCTTTGGAGTCGTTGCCTGGACACTCAGGGGCTCTTTTCCCTCTCAAATACAGATTTATTTAAGGAAATATGAATTAGGCAGATGTTTGATTAGCTTTTTTTTATATCAGCTTTTTTTTTTTTTACTGCAGCCCATTACTGTATATCAAGTCAAGTCAACTTAAAACAGTAGCTTTTTCCAAAGTGCTTGACAAT